AGTTGGATAGTTTGTGCATGGTGGGTGAGGAGACGCCCTAGGTGTTGGCGGGCGGGAGGTGGTGGGAGGAGAGAAGGTGGACGAGGAACCTGGGAAGACCGGAGAGGGAAGCAGCTGTCGAGCGAGGCGGTGCGCGCCGCTGATTGGCCGGGGGGCGCTCTAGTGGGTCATACAAAAAGAAGACATTCACCCCGTCGCACTCACCACACGCCCGCGAGATTGGTCCCTCGAATCTGCACCTGCGCTGCTTTTTGCTTCTGGTCGTGTGTCGTGCGCTGTCGCCTCAGGCCATGCGTGCTGCGCTGTGTGCTGCGATGTGCTGCGTCGTGTGGTGGTCGCAAGCGCCCACGGGCCTATCGCTAAACGAGCATAGCTGACGCTCCGACAAGGCTGGCTATTACGAGTACACCATCATGCCATGTCCGAGTAAGAATAGAAATCTAGAATACAGCTCCCCGTCGTCGCTCATCGCCCTCCACGCAACCCTCCCCACACGCATCAAACAGGCTCAGTTGCGGGAGAAACAGTCCGTGTGACGAAATCGCCCAAACACTACCTCGAAAGCTTGCCTCTGCACATCTCTTGGTATCAGAGCCCAGAGCGTGGTTACGTCTCCCCTGCAGTGCGATGACGGCTGCCCGCTCGCCAGACTCAATCAGGCAAATCTCACCCTCTAGTCGGCACCACAGCCGAGAAGCGTCCTGCGCGGATGCGGCACTGAGACACCGCTGCATCGAGTCACTGAACCGCATATTTTTCGTCGCGTCTGATACTATCGAATTGCATGAAGTGAATACACTGGGTCAACAGTGCCTAGTCAATGCTACAGACTATTACAACTTTCTACAAGACTAACACCCTCTTCGTCTCAAACACTAACCAAGTATCCTACAGCTACACTTCCACCTTGCTAATAGCGCATATACGTGCGACGCGGCTCGCCCACAAACGGCTCCGAAGCGACCTCCATGGGTCCTTCTTCAACATATCGCCTGCTCTGAGGTGCGCCAACATAGCGACGCTCATCGAAAGGCTCCTGCATCACACTGACCTCACGGAATCGAGGCTGCGAGGCACGAACAGCGGACGGCTGGATGCTTTCGTGTCGGACGTAGCCTTCCGGCACTTCTCGACGAATAACTTCTGGACGCATACTGTACGATCGCGCTGAAGCATACTCTCGTGGCGGACCCATCTCCTCGTACTGTGGCGCAGCGCGGTATTCCACCTCTACAGGACGGCGAGAGGGTTCTCTCTGCCTGTACGGGTTCTCGATCATTTCAGGCTCCGAGGCCTCAACATAGCGTCGAGGAGGCGGAGGCATTCTCTGAACTGCTTCTTCTTCGTACATTTCTGGTCGTGCCGGTGCACGCATTGTGGGCTCCCGCGTCACAGCCCGCTCGTAGTATGGCTCAACCTCCACTCGCCTGCTAGGTGGCGCCATCGACTCTCGCGCATCCATTGGTGCCGCATAGTACTTTTGTCCATACTGATCCACCACAATTCTGCGTGGCGGCGGAGCCATGAGCGGCTGAGAGGGCATGTATTCGTGTATAGGTGATCGCGAACGTTCGCGTACGTATCTGGGTGCGGCTGATGGGCGGGCTGAGGCTTCGCGGAAAACGGGCGCCTCGGCGCGTTCGACAAATGCATGCGATGCTGCGCGAATTTGTCGAGGCTCTGGCGCTGCGTATATCTCGTTGACGCCACCTGGCGAGTAGGGGCGTCGAGCATATTGCAGACTTGCGACCCGCCTGAGGTCCTGTTCATCGCGCAACGACTTCCGCTGCGGCGTGCGTATGACGGTCGGGGACAAGGGCTCGTCGTACTCGCGGTAGGATCGTGCCATAGGTTCCGGGTCGCGGTAGTAGACCGGCTGTGTTCTGGGGCTGCCTTGCGCAGAAACAAGCTCTACCTCGTCGGGATGAGGCTGTAGCGCACGACGCTTACTAGGTTGTGAGTCGGGATAAGCCGTGAAAGGAGGTGGTGACTGCGGCTCTTCCTTGATGTACGGTTCTGGCGAGTTGACAACACGTTTGTTGGCCTGCTGCTGACGCTTCTTCTCATCGCGCTCGCGTTTCTCTTCTCGTCTCCGCTTGCGAGGGTTGTGAACTGGTGCTGCGGGACCGGTCGGACTTTGACGGCGTGATCTGCGAAACGTTAGCATGATTACAAGAAGGGAAATAGATGGAAGACAGGAAATTGGGATAGAGATATGCAAGGACAGCTATGACTGATCTCAAGGCAGCAGAGATGGTGACCCATAATACAGCGACGCTCGCTACCAAACTCAGGGTCATGCCACGACCTGGATGGACGAACCTCTCGCGAAGCAGGTTGCCGACTCAATGTGCGAGAAGAGAATGCAAGTGAGAAGAAGAGAAATCTTATAGTATCATACCCGTTCGTGCCGCCATGGCGGTTGCGCTGCCGACCCCTCAAGGGTTCGCTTGGACCAATCTCGGCTGGAGGTGGAGAGTAGTCTTCCTCCTCCTCGCCTTCCTCGTGCAGCTGTGCAGGCTCAGGCTCATAGATTTCTATGTCATCGGCCGGCTCATAAGCCTCTTCGTCTAGGTCGATCACAGTGGGCTCGGCTGGGCGAGAGTGGACATTCACTTGCTGAGCTGTGGGCTGCGCCTGTGATGTCAGTGGAGCTGCATCAGCATGCGCGTGGTCAGCGCGATCAACATCCTCTGAGGACCAACTGTTCGCCTTGCTAGAGTAGTACGAGTTTTCGTCAAATGACTCAACGTCGTCGCTGTTGTTAGTCGCAGACGGTAAGCCAGATACAGGCGGGACCAGTTGGTGGGCCTTGATCAAACACTGCTCGACGTCGATGAGAGCTTCTCGCTCGTCTGCATCGTTGCCACGGCCCTTTTTATCGAACTGGTCCTTCAGTGCGCGTTCTATCTGCTGCCGCTTGAGCTGCTGTTCCGCCTTGACCAGGTGTTCGGATTTTGTGAGCAAGATGGGATCGATGCTCGAAGAGGACGACTTGGCCGAGTAGGGTCGTTGTGTAGGGGGTATAGGAGACGTGGGAGGGCGTGCTGAAGATGCTGGACGCGGAGGAAATAGTTGCGATGAAGATCCGTTGGGTGTGCCGTTGGTGGTGGGTCTGCTAGAGGCAGTCTGCGGAAGACGCGGTGCAACCTGTTCAATTACTTTGGGTGGAAGATGAATACGCGGGTGTTGGCTAGCAAGCACTTGGTCGCGTATCTGCAAAATCTTCTGGAGGAACTCGGCCTCGCGAAGCACCTCTGCAGACACTGCGCTGGCACCGTTCAGATGCGACGGCACTGCGGCTGTCGACATGGAAGCGATTGGCGCTGCCATCACAACAGACGCGAACTGACTTTAGTACTGAGCACCAACAAGCGAGCGCAAGACTGGCGATTATACAAATACAGGCGAAACCCGCAGCTGCGCGGGGTGAGAAGATGATGAAGGGGAATGAGTGTATGGAGAGCAACACGCCAGCGAGTGGGCAATGAATGTCGGAGCCACGGCGCGTTTTGGTTTTCAGCAGGTGCACGCGCCAGCGCCAGCACTAGGCCCGAAGGGGATGGTGACTTCCCCATGTACCCATCACGCCTTCTACAACTGTGAATGCAGCAATCGCATCTAGTTGAGAGAAACTGTGAAGACTGGCTTTCTTTTGGTCTGATACTGCGATAAGGTATGACGACAACACTATATCCTGTGCGTCATAACTCGAAACTTACACTAAGCAGACAACCTTTGGAATCTTCCAGCGCCACTTTCCCCGGACACGCATATCCCACCCTTTCGATATCTGAAATCAATCATCATCTCGAGCGCTTGTCTGGTATCAAAAGAATCAAGATCATGTCGTTCAACACAGCAGCACCGCCAGAGACCATGGAGTATCGGTCGCAATCTCAGCATGACTCAACAGCAAACAGCAACGCCCAGGTCGACGAGAACGAGAAGCCAATCTTCTTTTTCGACATCGACAACTGCCTCTACCCCAAGAGCCTTGATATCCACCGGATGATGGCTGAGCTGATCGATCAGTTCTTCCAGAATCACCTCAGCTTATCCCAAGAAGACGCCAATGAACTCCACTACCGCTATTACCGCGAATATGGTCTCGCGATTGAAGGGCTCGTCCGACACCACAAAGTCAATGCACTGGAGTACAACAGCAAAGTAGATGACGCGTTACCGCTGGAAGATGTCATCAAGCCTAACCCCGAACTGCGCAAGCTGATCGAGGACATCGACACAAGCAAGTGCCGCTTATGGCTCTTCACCAATGCATACATCACCCATGGCAAGCGCGTCGTCAAGCTCCTGCAGATTGACGATCTGTTCGAGGGTATCACTTTCTGCGACTATGGCTCGGACAAGTTCTACTGCAAACCGCACGTGGAGATGTACGACAAGGCGATGGCGGAGGCTGGCATCAAGTCGAACGAGAAGTGCTACTTCGTCGGTGAGTGCTCATAACATCTCATGTTATTGTAGCCTACTAATATATTGATACAGATGACTCTTACATCAACTGCAAGGCAGCAGAGGGACGGGGATGGAAGACGGCGCATCTGCTTGACGAGAAAGATCCCGCACCTGCTCAGCCGGCCAGCAAGTACCAGATCAGGAGCTTACAGGAGCTACGGAAGATCTTCCCAGAGGTGTTCAAAAGTTCGTGAGAAGATGCATGACTGCATTGTCGAAAGGTGATCGACCGGGGTCCACACGGCCACATCATGCGCACTCGCGGATCTTCATGACCATCACGATTACGACTAGATGATAGACTAGATCCAAAGGCATATAGAAGGATAGAAGGATAGACGAGCTGGTTGGTATGAACGAACAAGCGTTTGCAGCTACCACGGCTCGGTATCTTATCGTTCGCCGAGGACAAGTGCACGTCTCCAGTGCTCTTACGTACCATAGCACCACCGCTAGGCAGCAACAACCCTCCAACTCTTCCTCTATAAAAAAAACCTTCAAATCCTCTACAGAAATAATCAATGAAGACACCAAAGCAATACCAGACCATGTCATCAACCACCCCAACGTCCTCCACCCCGCCCGCCCCGCAATCCTCCGCATTACCCCCAACCCACCCCTTCAACACCACCTCCACCAACGCAACCACGCTCGCCGACCCGACAACCCAACTCCCACTCGTCACCGACGCCGTAACCCCAACGCGCAAACCTCTCCTCCGCCTCGAACTCCGCGACCTCTCCTCAAATGGCACCCGCGCCTTCCTGCGCCTCACACACGCGTCGCACGCGCTCGAACACGCCGTCGCAACCGTGCTCACACACCTCTACAGCGGCCTCCCCAAAACATGCATACCAGGCACGCGTTCCGTAACCCTCATCCTCCGCGAAATGGACGGAGTCGCATACACAACCGGCCTCGATCTCGACGACGACCACAAGGAAATCCACCTAAACACGTCTTACATCTCGCACGTGCCTGAGTCGCGGCAGAAAGAAGAGATACTGGGTGTGCTTGTGCATGAAATGGTGCATTGCTGGCAGCATAGTGGGTTTGGGAGTGCGCCGACGGGGTTAACAGAAGGTGTCGCGGATTGGGTGAGGTTGAAGGCGGGGTTTGCGCCGCCGCATTGGAAGAGGCATGGGGATTGCGAGTGGGATGCTGGGTATGAGCGGACGGGCTATTTTCTGGAGTGGTTGGAGAAGGAGCATGGGGAGGATGTTGTTAGGAGGTTGAATGAGGGGATGAGGGAGAAGAAGTATGATGGGGAGGTGTTGTGGAAGGGGTGCTGCGGGAAGGGGGTTGAGGAGTTGTGGGAGGAGTATAAGAAGAGTTTGGAGGGAGATGAGTAGGGAGGGTTGGGTACACGTAAGAGTTTGTGGGAGTGTGGTTTAGGCGTGGAGTACTTTACACATGGAGGTTCGGAGGATAGAAAGACGCAGGCTATATCACGGACGAATTTACGTACCACCAGTACATCATTGCTACAGCATCTACTGAACAGTCTCGACCTCCCATCTACCTCCGCCTTCTAGCAGGAGCAGCATTTCTAGCAGGAGCAGCCTTCTTAGCTGGGGCAGCATTCCTTGCAGCTGTAGGCCTGGACGCTGCCGCTGGTTTCGGAGCACTCTTCGCAGCGTTCCTCTTCGCCTCCCACTCTCCATGCTGTTGATCAAGTTTTCTCCTGAACGGGTCGTCCTCCTCCTTCGCTGCTTTTGCAACTTTCTCTTTCCTTTGCCGCTCAGATTTAGTCCTCTCTAGTTCTGCTTTCTGATGAGCTGCCTCGAAGTGGTCGTTTTCCTTCTTCTTGCGCTTCTCTTCCTTTTCCTTCTTATCTTTCTGTTTCTTTGCGGCTAGACCTTTCGCTTGGACTGCCAGATGTTGAGCTCTGGAGAACTCATCATCCTCTTTTTTCTTGCGTTTATCTTCTTCTTCCTTTTGTTTGTGCTGTTTCTTTGAAGCTTCGACCTTCTCGTCCTCCTCAGCTTTAAGCTTCTTCTTCTCTTCCTTCTGGATTGCTGCTAGTCTATCCTTCTCTGCCTTTTCAGCTTTGTCTTTCTCTTTCTTCTGGGTTTGAAGCTTCTCTTTTTCTGCTTTAAGCTTCGCCTGCTCTCCTTTCAGACGCTCTGCTTCGACGCGGGCGTCCTCCTTCTTTTTGCGTTTCTCTTCCTCTTCCTTTGCCTTCCGCTGTTTCTTGTCGGATTGATCTTGCTCTTTCTTTTCGTATTTAACTAGACTTTGCTCTTGGTTCGGCTGATCATGGCCTTTCTTGCCAAATAAGACCAGACTTTGCTCTTGTTTCGGCTGATCATGCTCTCTCTTTCCAAACTTGACCAGACTCCGCTCTTGTTTCGGCTGCTCAATCATCAATCGGGCTTCTATTCTCTTCTGACGTTTCTCTTCCTTTTCTTGGTCTCTTCGTGCGGCGGCTCCTTGTTTGGCGGTGGCCAGTTTTATGAGCGTCTGTTCTTTTGCAGGTTTATTGGAGGCTGTGCGCAGTTCCTTCGCTGCAGCTTGCGTGATGAGCTTCTGTTCCTTCGCCTCGGCTTGCATTATCAGCTTCTGTCCCTTTGCGGCTTCTTTGGCTGCTGTCTTCAGCCTCCGTTGCTCCGCCTTTTCGGCCGCTTTGGTATCCGTGGCCTCATGCTTCGCACTCGACCTGAATATGCTCAATTGTCGATGTTCAGAGCTCTGTGTATGGCTTTCACGCGAATGGAACATACTCGCGCTGGATTTGTGATCCAAATTCTGCTCCTTCTCATGTGGCTTGTTGTCGATTGCGAGTTGCTTAGCTTCAGGCTTCTTGTCCTTGGCCGCTTCTTTGGCTGCGAACTTCAGTCTTTTCTTCTCTGCTTCGGCGGCTTTCTTGGCATCAGAGGACTCAGGCTTTGTGAGAGATTTCAGTTTCAACTTCTCCTCCTTGTCTTGCGCCTTCTTCTCAGATGCGAGTCGTTTAGCTCCGAGCTTCTCCCGGGCCTCTTCCGCTTTCTTAGCCTCTTTCTGAGCTTTCGCAGTACTTGGATCCCCAGACTTATCGGCATGCTTGTTGGTAAATGGAACAACTTCCTTACCAACCTTCTCGCCCCCCTTCTTTTCGCTCTTCTCATCAGCTTTCTCAGTCTTGTGCACCGTTTCCAGTTTCGAGGCTGCTTCCTTCGCTTCGGCTTTCTTCTTTGCATCCGCATCCTTCTTCTCATCCTTAGCCTTCTTGTTGGCGACTTTGGAGTCTGCGTCTGTACTGTCTGACTTCGCTCCACCGTTCTTACTCTCCTTAATCTCAGCGTCCTCATGTTCAGCATCCCTGGGTTCAGAACCCTTGTTTCCAGAATCCTTGTGTTCAGAATCCTTATGTTCAGCCTCCTTATGATCAGCGTTCTTATGTTCAGCGTCCTTCTCTTTCTTAGCCTTTCTTAGGGCTCTCTTCTCCTTGATGATATCTTTATTAGAGGGCCCTTTCTCGGTCTTGGCGTTCGTAACATGTTCGTTGTTGATCGTTCGGTTGGTAATCGTCTGATTGGTGATCGTCTGGTTGTTGACCGTCTTGTTGGTAATCGTGTGGTTGGCAATCTTCTGATTAGTCTTTGCGCTGTCTTCTGCGCTCTCCTTCCCCTTGGCTGGACCATCTGCGCTCTTCTGATCTTTAGTCGTATTGTCATGTTTGGTAACAGAGGCAGCAGCTTCTTTCTGTGCGTCAGCTTCTTTCTTCGCGGCTTTCTTGTCTTGCTTCGCTTCCTTCTTCGCCTTCCGCGCTTCCTTTATCTCAGCCTCCGTACGCGCAGGTTGTTTAGCAGCATCTTTTTGTGTGTCGTCTGTGCCTTCCCTAACCGGTTCACCCGCGCTCTCTGGTTGAGGATTGACGTCACTCCCCGCAACCTTATCTAACCTCTTTGCCTCTTTCCTGTCCTTTCTTCTTTGCAAGACCAACTCTCGATCCACCACAGGTTTCTGCTTGGCACCGTTCGCATTCGCGCCGTTTCCGTTGTTGATGCCTTTGCTTTGAGCGTTGGGGCTATGAGGGTTCTGCGCAGCCTCGAAATTTGCCTCCTGCGCTTCTCGCCCCGCCTGTGCGTGTTGCCTTGGTCCTGGTACGCCGTGCATACCCAGGTGTAGTTCATCATCACGTCCATGACTGGCGTGATCCATGTGATTATCACCTTGGTGACCACGATCTCTAGGATCGCCGCGCTGCATATATGGGTGTCTTTCTTGACGTAGTCCGTTACCATGTCCTTCTTCGGCGTGATCCGGATAATTCCCGCCCGGATGACCATGACCTCTAGAATCGCCATGTGGTGTATCTGGGTATCTCCCCTGTTGGTGGCCATGGTTACCATCCGAATGGCGGCCGTCTTGTCGACCCTGTTGTTGTCGTCTTGCGTGATCTTCATAATTTCCGCCTCGGCGATCATGACCTCTAGAGTCGCCATGTTGTGTGTCTGGGTATCTTCCCTGTTGGTGGGTATGATTGCTATCCCAGTGGCGACCGTCTTGTTGACCCTGTTGTCCTTGTTTGGCGTGATCTTGATGATTTCCGCTTGCGGGATCACGAGCTCTAGGGTCGCCATGCTGCGTATCTGAGTGTCTACCCTGTTGGTGGCCATGATTGTTGTCCGAATGACTGCCATGTTGTTGATCATGATGTCCTTGGACTTCATCATGCCCTCCAGCTGCCCTGTTTCCATCGGCTTGCGGTCTCGCCATAGCATTACCAGCCTCCATCCGTCGCTCATCTTCCTCTTCCTGCATACGCTGCCTCTCCTCTTGTTGATGAGTCTTCTTTTCCTGATCAGCTGCCTTCTTGTGCGCTCGCTCATCATCTTCGCTCTCCTTTCTTAATCTTTTCTCCTCAGCTTCAGTGGCTCGTCGAGCCTTCTTATCCTCTAGCTCGGCCTGTCGTCTCTGGACCTCAATTTCCCGCTCGGAGCGCTTTGCTTCTTGCTCCATGGCATGCTCTGCCATACTATGGGTAGCTTGAGCAGCCTTTTCTTCCATCGTGCTTTGCTTTTCAGCCAAATGCATCTGCCTCTGGGCTTCTCGCTCCGCCTTTCTGGCCTCTTGTGTCATCGAGCGTTCCTCAATACGTTGAGATGCTTCTTCTGCTCGGAGTTCGGCTTGCTCCTGAGCTCTTTGAGTCTTCTCAGCCGCATCAAGTTCTCTCTGAGTCTTGCGGGCTTCTCTATCGATTTCCTGTTGCTGTTGTCGCTGAACGGCATCCTCGGCTTTACGTTCCCGCATTTCCTCTGCCCGTGTCCTTTTCATCTCTATATCATTCGCCCGCTTAGCTTTCTGGGCTTCACGGTCCATCTCGCGCTGTTCTTTCCGCCGTTCATCCTCCTCGGCCTTTCGTTCGCGTTTGGCCTCCTGATCTTCCACTCGACGAGTCTCACGTTCCTCTCGATCAGCCTCTTTCTGTTCATCCTTTCGCTCTTTCTCTTCAGCCTTCTTCTCATCCTTTCGCTCCTTCTCTTGAGCTTTCTTCTCATCCTTTACTGCTTTCTCCTCCGCCTTCTTCGCATCTTTCTCTTGCTTTGCAAACTGGCGGGCTTCGTCTGCTGCTTGCTTCCGAGCAGCTTTGTCTGCAACTTCCTGGGCTTTTTGTTGTTCTCGCAACTGTTGCTGCTGGTATTGTGCCTGCTGTTGTGCCTGATACTCTTCATCGTCTTGGGCTCTTTGCTGTTCTTGCCACTGTTGCTGTTGTTGGAAGACCCGCTGCTGTGCCTCGGCCTTTTCGGCTTCCTGATCAGCCCAGTCCGCATCTTCCCTGGCGGCGAGTTCATCTTCCGCATGCTTCTGCTGCGCTCGGCGCATCTGAAGTGCTTGTTGACGTTGTTCATACTCAAACTTCCGCTGGGCAGTCTCGTTGGCCGCCGCTTCTGCAGCTTCTTGCTGTGCTGCGAGCTCATCTTCTTCCTCTTCCTCTTCCTGCGCTTGCTGCTGCGCTAGTTGTCTTTGTTGCATGGCAGCTTGCATATTCTCTTGGCGTTTCCTGTCGATTTCTTGTCTTTGGGCTTGGATCTGTTGTCGCTGCGCTTGATAATGCGCTGCTTCGGCCGCGGCTTCGGCCGCCTCCTGTTCTTGCGCCATTCGCTCGTCTGCAGCCTTCTTTGCCAATGCAGCTCTGATTTGCTCTTGACGTTGTCGCTCCATTACCTGATCCTGAGAAGGCATCTGCATTTGACGTCCTGCTGAGTCGTATGACTGTCCTTGAACGATCGGTCCCCGCGCTAGATCATCATAGTCGTCGGTGCCTTCTTCTTCCCCTTCCGCTTCTTCCATATATTCTTCATATTCGTCTTCCGCTTCCTCCTCTTGTATTGAACGCTGGTAGGGCTGCTGCCATAACGGCAGGCTTGTTCGGGAGGGTTGCGCAGGTTGCGGAGGAAACGGAGCAACGTCTTTGAAGCGCTGGTGTTGAACAGGGATATCCTGGCGCTGATCTGCTTGTCGCATTTCAGAAGGCGTATATGGATGCACTGGAACTTTTGGACTAGAAGTTTGGCGTTGCTGTGGAGGCATTGCCCGCGATTCATGGCCATTCGGTCCTGGCCTCAGTGCTTCTGGAACCACGGAAGCTTGTTGAGGGTAGCCAACAGGAGGTATCTGAACGTTACTAGCTGACTTATGGTGTGGCAACCCGCCGTCTTCATGTTCGCTGTCGCTTTCAGATGTCTCATCGTCTGAAGCTCGTTCATAGTCACTGCCGTCAACGTCGCTGTCTTCCAAGTGCTCATCTTCGTCGTCCCCTTTACCCTCAACCTTGCTATCAAACTCCTCTTCCACGTCACTATCGTCTTCTACTTTGTCTCTAGTATCTTCATCGCTGACTTCACTGTGATAAGACTCATCGTCGGTATCGTAGTCATCAGTGGGAAGTCCTTGATTGCGTGGATCAACAGCGACATGAACAGCGATGGCTGGTTGTGCGACCGCCATGATATATGATGTCGTTGGTATGTAACTCGATTGGTTGAACTGGGAAGTGTGTAAAATCAGGCCTGCCTGTATGATGTGATAAGTTGGTGTCTAGTTGGGTAAAATATAGTCAAGAAGATGGCCTAAGAACACTGGCCACGTCTAGGATCTTATACCTGGCTCAGAAGATATTCCTAAGCAAGATTGTGAAGCTTTCGTTGAACATGCAGTATTGATGTCCGACTCGGGCGTGTGAATCGGCCCAGACTATGACGACATCAGCACGTCGAAGCCTGCGTTTGTCATACCCTCGTGTGTAGTCTTGAAGTCTGAGAACGGCGACTGACGAGTTCTTCTCCATTCGATTCAAGGGCACTTCAACATCCACATCCCTATTGAATCTCTCTTCAGGTAACAAGCATAATGGCTACATGATCAGGCATTCATGTACGAAGCATCGCACATGCTTGTTGTGATACAGCAGTCCTTCAACGACAACGTAGTGAATTTTAGCCTATCAGTGAAGCGTGTATTAGAAACACACCGCCCATAAATTGAGCTCTCTAGAGTTTTGTAGTCATAACCAGACTCAACCACTTCGCTCAAACACATCGACTGGGATCAAACCACCTAGCCAGGAACTGCACAGACGTTCTACCAAATTCGGAATCCCTATCTTTACCACCAAAGAAGCTTTGCAGAAGCCATCTACTTACCAAACCAATAAGCAATCGCCCGCTACTTCATCACAACCTGCCGCAGCCGACCATGTGCATCGGCGTCAACAGCGAAGTCTGCCCCGACTGCGGCAACAACGGCAAAGGCCACGACCCCTACCTCCAAGGCGGTACAAAATGGATCCGATGTCCAGCCTTCATAAAATCAGTGACAGGAAAGGAACCCTCAGGGCCTAAATGCGAGTCCATCATGCGCGATCAGATTGGAAAGAAAGGGGACTGTGCAGTCTGTAAATCACGGAAGACATTTGAACAGAGGAAGGCAGAAGGGAAAATGACGCCGAACGAACTGAGACTGGAAAGAATGAGGCTGGCGAAAGAGAGATTTGACAAGGATGTGAAGACCAAGAGGAAGGAATTGTGGGGAGATCAATAGGGCGGATTTGATGATGGAGATACTGGTGCTCCTTGAATAGCGGAGGGGCTACATGTATATTATCTTGAATGAGCTCTTCAGGTACAGAATTGTGAAGTTTAACCTACGTGTATGATATAAAACGTTCTCGAGTCATCTATACAGCTATCTCCTTGATAAACACAACTACCAGTCAACAAAGCACTCCACTCGATCATATTACCTGCACGCATCGATTTTATATCGACCACGTATCCGGCCACCTCACTTCCAACTAGCTCAGCACCTCTTCTGTATCCTGATCAGCGTCACCAGAGTCGCGTGTCAACCAACAAACCAAAACACACACCCACGGCAATCTAAATATGTGTACCGGTGTTCTTCCCCAAACATGTCCAAAATGCCACCAAAAAGGCCCCACACGCAAGCCCTACACCCAAATACGGCCAACAATAGCCCATTGTGCAGCGTCTCTGGCACGAGCATCGGAAACACGCCGCCCCGCCACCCAATGCAAAAATCCCCTTTTGACGAACGCTTTCAAACTGTTTCACAAGGATTGTGAAGAGTGTATATTTCTGGCTAACCGAAAGGCCGAATCTGTGCGGAGGAAAGCGCAGTTGAAGAAGGAGCTGGAAGAGTCTGAGGAGGCGATGAGAAAGGAGGCCGCGATGGAGAAAAAGATGAAGGAGGAAAAGCGAAAAGCTGACGAGCGGGACAAGCAGGAGAAAGCTGACAGGCTTAAGCTTGCGAAGGAAAGAATCAAGCTGGAGAAAAGCAAATGGAAGGGTACCGATCCTGCTAAGCTGAGTACATCGTTCCTTCCATCGACTACACCGTTCCTTCCAACGCAGGAAGCTCAAGATAGAGCTAAGGCGGCTGCTGAGAAGATTCCAAAAAAGACGAGGGGAGCTGTGGTGAAGACTCCTAAGAAGACTAAGAAAGTCACCACCAAGGCTGATGAGGCGATGTATATGAGCGCGGTTAATCATCATCAGAGATAGGCTGGCGAGGCTAGTGCTCAGGGCGGGAATGCAGGATAGGAGGCTTGTGATAGGTAGATGCGGATGTTGAAATGGGGATGCTTCGGATTACTGCGCATGTATATTACTTCAAGGTTGAGAAACGGGGTTAACGATAAACGAGAAATACCAGTAACACTTTCCATCCGACTTAATAAAGAACAATTGCAAACCCATTACCCATTAATTTCCCACGCGCCTGAAACAAAAGAGTCCCCTGCAACCTTCATTTTCAATTACCTTACCCTATTTAGCAGCAGGAATCCTCTCTTTAACCCCCATAGCTGTGGCGGTGAAAAGCAATTACGAGGGAACACTGAACTCGAAGGCGCAAACCAACTAGACCCCGTCTGCACCGACCACGGATCTACCTCCACACCCGTAATCCGCTCGAACCGTCTCCTCTGTTTTCCCTCCATCGTTGTGACGGTGAACAACAACCACGAGGGCCGCGCACTGAACCCGGAGGCGCAACCCATCTAGACCTCTTCTGCACCGACCACGGATCTGCATCCACACCCGCAATGCGCTCGAACCGTCTCCTCTCCTCTATATATACCTCGTTCTTCCAACTTGTCTCCCAAGCCTTGCGTAAATATGCTCTCGTTTCCTTGATGAATTGCACCCGGGTCTGACGTTTTGGGAATTTTCTCTTATCCCCATTCACATTCGCATTTTCCAGGATGATGCGTCCAGCTGAGGCGAGTAGGTAGTATGACTCCTGGCACGGGAAACAGCAGGGTCGGTATGTGAAGGTGGGAAACCAGTTAACTCCAGGTTCTCTGCCGGGTTTGTGGAATTCGCCTTGCACAATGTATTGGAGGACGTGGAACACATCTGCGTAGATGGTAGATAGCTCCTCGAATAGCTCCTCCGAACTTCTTCGACGGGTATCTTCTGAAAGGGAGACCTGATTGAGCTGGGTGAGTAGGCATCGGGCGATGGTGATGTGGAAGTGATAGGAATATTCTTTTACTTCGTCCAAAACGGCGCGAATGTATGGAGGGAGACGTCCTCCATCGAAACGCGTATGGCGATTGGATAGACGGTCGATTACGCTGATACCTTTTGTGCAGGCGGCTACGCAAGCCAAGTCATTCTTGGCATGCTCAGCGTCATCAGCGCGTTCTCTGTGTATCGAAAGCTCGGTGAGGAGAACATGAGCATCGGACCAGTGTGGTTGTTTGACGATTTGCATGGTGTCTTGTAGAAGATCCTCATGGGCGCAGCCTTCCATCGTGAGACGGCGACAGCCACGGATGCCATCTCGTATGGGTTGTAATAGCTGTTCTTGAATACGCCGTGAAGGAACCTCGCAATTTCCTTCCTCATCAGTGTTCGTACCTGCGTTCAGTGTGACGCGTAACTCTACCCCCATATCTGGTATCTTCGTGTGGCCATGGTGCATCCTTTCAGTCTCCAATCTCTTGCAGAATTCGCTCAGGTCCGACAAAAACATCACTATCCTGGTTGTCAAGGAGCGAGAGGAGCGAGAGGATCCAAGAGACCGGTCGAGCTGAAAGACGAGGTCCATCTCACAATGCGGGAAGACCTTTGGCTCTTCTTCGCTCAAACTGGGGTGTAGCTCTGGTATGCAGCCACCAGTGTGGCTGATGGAAAAGATGTGGATCGGTTGGCTGGGCCCGTGGAACCAGTCTTGTATATTACCATTCTGAACCTCGACGCGCACGAAAGTGTTGCTGTTTGACAGGAAGGGCTTTGCTTCATCATAGATCTGCTTGTTTGCGAGGAGTATATTAATGCCAAGACGTCGCCGCTTTACTATGGGTGCCTCCGCATGCAGGTTTAAGTATTCGCGGATAGTATAGCGAGCTGTTCGACAGCTATCGAAGCCTAGCGCAAATTCGTAGACATTGTCTCGTAGCTCGCGTGGTAGATCAAGAAGGCGGAAAGGCTGATCGGTGAGGTGAGTGTTCATGATGCTTGGCAGGAATTGTGGTGTAGGAAGGTAGGAGCGTTCAAGGCGCTGAAGTTTGCTTGTACACGGCTCCAGGGCTGACAGGAGCGGCTCGCTTCCACTGCATGGGTCTAGCGCATCGAGACAGAGTCATTCCACTTAGCTCAGACTGCTGCCTGGGCTTACGCAATCGCCAACAACGATAAGGCGTAAAAGTGGTAAAGTATTATAGTATTGACAAGGGCGTTGCGCAAACTCGTGGCATTAGCCTCTCGGACCGAAGTCAGATGATACGCCGGTAGAGTAACCGCACTGAAGCGCTACAATACATTGCCTAGGCAAGCAAGTTTAAAACCGTCCCGTCCAGATACCCCTCAACGCCAGAATGTCCGCTCGCCGGCATGACCATCAGTGTGCGTCGCAAAGTCCAGATCCATTGTTGGTTAAACCAACGGCATGTGTCAATCGTAGATAACTCTTACTCAACGCCCTCGACTTTCCTCAGAAATTCCCTGACGCGGCCAACCTCCACACCCTCGCCTTCTTCACTGTCCAGAGCCGCGACGAGACCTTCAAGACACTCTTCAATCCTGTTCTCTTCTACCTTTGTGCAAAGACTGACGACCTTGCGGTACATCATCTCCAGTTGCCCGTCCTTCTCTTTCAGCATCTTGCTCCGTTTGAGTAGCGCACCGTTCGCGTTCGTGTAGGTGTGTAGTCGTTGTTGGAGGACGGAGGCGGCGGGGAGTTGCTGGACTGCATAGGCCTGATATTGTGGCTGATGCGATACCTGTTTGAGCGTTGCAGGATCCAGTGGAATGGTTGTCGACAGATAGGGGGCTCCATCTGATGCGCGGCAATCCAGATGGTCGCCTGCTTGCCGGAGCTCGTAAGGCAAGTCGTCTTCCTTGATGAGCATGCCTGCACCTTCCACATCGGCGTATCCTATCCTCTTCTTCTCGTGCAAATCGATGTCCCCTGCATTGACAGAAAGCAAATGCCGTTGTGGCTCAAGCCAACGCTTCAGATTCGATATCCGCTTAGCGCGATCTTGTCGTAAACGTAACCGAGCACGTAGTGACTCCAGCCTTTGTTGCTCCTGCTTCTGTTGAGTAGATAGTTGGGTGATCAGCTCATTTGTTTGATCTATGGTGTCTTGTTTCAGACGCGCTTCTTGCGTGAACTGCATTGAAGCGGACTGGAGAATGCCATTCATCACTGTAATCATATTAGTGGGATTCTCGTAATAGATACGAATTCAAACTTACAGGGTTGTATCTCTCGGCTGGTCTCTTCGACCTTGCTCAAGGGCGCCTTGCCCTTGCTGGGGCTGTTTGCGGCGATTATGACTTCGCCATCGCCAAGATCGCTGCCAACACCGAAGTCGATGGGTCTCGTGCCTTTGTGATTGGGTATGGTCGGGTCCGCCTGAACTTCCATGAGCTGAGAGATAATGTTGCGATTGCCTATCCTTGCGGCTAGGTTGAGTGCTGTGTTGCCGGCTTTGTCGCGTGCGTTGACCATCTCTTGCATAAACCTCATCAATCCTATTGGTTTCGGGTAGTTGCTGGTGTCGTGGAAAGAAGGCACCTGGTTGGCGCCAATGTTGCTGCGTACGAGGTACTCAAGAAGTGCCTCGAGGTAGTACTTGCTGGAGGCCGCACGCCCTTTTATGGCACAGGTCACCGCGATGTGATGCAGTATCGTCCGTCCCTGGGAGTCGCGGAGTTCGATAAGTGGCGCCAGGATCTCGAGCGTTTCTGGGAAGCAGCTGTGGTCCAGGCTGTTGTTGACGGAGACTGCACTCATTAGTGGTGTTTGACCGGAGGCATTTCCTCTGAACATGTTTGCTCCTTTGGAAACCAATAGCCTCATCAACGAGACTCGGGCCAGTGTCGCAGCCCAATGTAGAGCTGTATTTGAGGTGTTGTCAATTGGCATGTCCAGATCTGCGCCAGAGAGGTGAAGAATGGCTGGATGGTTCGTGAAGTCTGTCCTAGTCTGATCCGCGAATAGATCCGTAAGCATGGCTTGCTTCTCTTCGTTGTGCTTGGTGTCGGGGTGCGGTAGAGGTGGCAGGGCTGAGGGAACCTCGCCATCGGGAAGTGCAATGCGCTGTCCTGTCTGGTGTTGGTAGAAGCTCTCGCTTGGTTCTGTCGGCGAGCCTAGATCGCGCATAGACATGTCTGCGCCGTTGGGTTGTGAGTAGGATTCATCTTGGGATGTTCGCATGCGCTTCCTTGGCGGCTCTTGCGGGTCTTCAAGGCCTGTGCCATAGGCTGAGTCGGTGTGTCCGTTCTGCCCGCTGAAACTACGCTCCGATGCTACGCTCTGCTGGCTGCTGGTGCGGAACGATTCTTGGCTGGCGAGGGGTCCCTGTGACGGCCGTGCCATGCTTCTCCGGCCCTGCGAGGAGGAAGCGGGTCGCGGTGCGGGTGAATTCAGTCGCGCGACCTTGTTCATGGCGGCAAGTGCGCTGGTGGCTGTCGAGGAGATGTTGCTGAAAAAGGTACCGCCGACACTCTGGCTAGTAGTGCGGCCGTCCATGCTCTGGGTGTAGAAGCGCTTCCTGTTTGCTGCCATGGCCTGCTCTTTGGTGGGCGTCTCGATGCCCTGGCCCTGTCCCTGGTTGCCATCAACGCTGACATCGTAGTCCAGCAGCGGGCGCAAGACATCCTCGACACCGTACTGGCGACAAAACTCTCTGCCGCGGCGGTAGCAGATCCATGTGCCCTGGTACTTGCCGTAGCCGCCCTGGACCTTTTCGTGTTCGCCGTTCAGGATCTCCTTCTCGAGGACCTTGGTGCGCTTTCCTTTGTCAACGCCAGCCACCTTGAGGATCTGGGTGGCATTGAGCCAGCCGTCAGAGCGTCGGCGCATGACGGCGACCCGATTGACTTCCATTTCGTAGACAGAGACGCCCGAGTAAACAGCCTAGATTGTCAGCGACTTGGTGCGACTGCGCAAATGCTGTGGTGGTGGTGGTGCCTACGGTGTATATCTGGGGCTTCTCCATGGCGTGCTGCTGGTAGCCGTTCATGTCGGAAAAGGACCGGTTGAAGCCAGCGGGCGCGGCCATGAGTCCCTGGCTGTGGGGAGAGTTGGCGTACATGGCCGACTGGGGCGGCGAACCTGCGGGAAAGGATAGCGACGTGCGCGCGACTTGCATTATGTCAGCGCAGTGCTGGCGGGCGTGGTGATGGTGACTGTACGGGTCAAACGATCATGGGGGCAGGCGCGGACAGAGGCTGGGCACAGCGTGGGCAGGTGCAGTCGGGGTGCGCAACCGTGGGCCGTAAGCGGAAGCCTCGGTGGAGGGTGCGATGGGCGATAGGCGATATGCGCCGTATCAGGACTCGATGTTGATATGCGGGTGGGCGGGGGGTGAATGTGCCGTCGCTCGTGGAGACTCTAGAGGAGTGGAGATTCCAGAGGTCGCGTCTACGCGTCGCGGCCAATCAGCCGCCGCCCGAGTTTCCTTGCCCAGAGCACGGCCACGACCCGTCTGCTACCTTCCGGCTCGTCTCCCGCATGCCTACGCCATTCCAGCAGAGCGCGTCACGTCTGCGGCCAGTCCATCTGCTGCGTGCCCTGCTGCGTGAGGCGTCGTATCTGCCCGATGCGACAGCCCGCACCTACTTCCGCCGCTACATCGTCAGCCGATTCAAGGCGTATCAGCCCAAGCAAAATGCGACGGCTTCCTTCGACGTCCAGGCCGTGGAGAAGTACAGGCACAGGAGCTTCAAGAGGCGGCAGATAGCCATTATCAATGAGCGCACACGACCAATGCTCAGGAAAGGGCAGAAGGGCCTGAACTTCCTGCGCCGGGCCAACCTGGGCGAGATACCATGTCTGCAGAAGGTCCTGTTCTTCGCCTATGGGCGCATGGGAAGGAGAAAGTACATCCTGCTGGAGAGGTTGCTGACGCCAGACCATATCATGGACGGCGGCGCACTCGCAACGCCCGTCGACCCAGGGCAGGCACCGCTGCAGAAGCTCTATTACAGCAATAAGCGCTATCTGCAGTATTTCGATGCGCCCAAAGCCGCCTCCAAGACCGAGTATACCATCAACATCTCTAGCCGCTACTCCCGATTGCGCGCCGTCCTCAAGTCGCAGTGCCAGAAGGGCATCTCCATACACCGAGGGATCAAGCGTCCAGCCATGAAGACGCCTATCAACAATGTCTGGGAGCGACCCATGCCAATCAAGCGCGCGGTCAACAACGTCCGACGCTGGTATGCCGAGACTATGACGAGAATACTCCCTCCATTACCGACCGAAGAGTGGGATAATATACATGCCATGGTTGTTGGGGACCGAAAGGTCGATTTGGTCAGGCGGAGAGGCCGCGCTTCAGTGTTGAGTGCTGAGCCAGTCGTAGAAGACGACATCTTCGCCCGCACAGTAGAAGAAGGCATTGCCTTAGACAAGCCCAGCAGGGCAGACATGCCTGCAGGCGTGCAGCGACCGCATACCATCAACCCTAGGTTCATGAAACGCATGTATACAAAGCTCCTCATGCTCTGCTGCAAGGTCGAGTACGACGACGAGCAGAAGCGATGGAAAACAATCTGGGGCGAACCTATGAAGTACATTAAACCCAGCCTCTACAACGTCCCTACAGATGAAACGCTCTTTGCGGGTGTTGATGCTACAGGCAAGATCCCGAAGACGCCCAAGAAGCATCTGCTCGAGAAATCACAGCATGTCCAGCCACGGAATGCCGAGGGCGAATACATGCGTTTTCCCTTCTTTGCCGAACGGCTTCCAGAAGAGCACCCAATACGCAAGGAATTGGATGAGTGGAAGAGGAAACGTGCTGCTGCGAGAGGACAAAAGCGGGAAGCGTCGTAGCCCTGGAGGCGGGGCACTACCCCACAAACTTGGAACGCTGTAGGGCGCGTCTTACATGTCCATAAAGTAGGCAGCACTCAGCACCGTACTTTGATCGTCACAGTGCATCGAGCAACGTTTTGACAACCACAATGGCATCTTCAAGCGCAACAATTCGCCACGCGACCCGCGAAGGTAGAGTATCCCCAGCCTAGAGTAGAAGTCTACTAACAGCCTGTACAGATGTTCCTACCATCCTAGCCCTTATCAAGGAGCTTGCGCTCTACGAAAACGCCAGTGACAAGGTTGACTCAACTGAAGAAATCCTCACGCGCACCCTCGCACACTACGATCCTTCCACTTCGACCTTCTCCGAAGGCTTCGCCCGTACACTCCTCCTCAGCGACCCCGACGGCACGGTAGCAGGCATGGCTCTATACTTCTACAACTACAGCACATGGACAGGCGTGCCAGGCATCTACTTGGAAGACTTGTTCGTCAAGGAGAGCTACAGGAAGAAGGGCTATGGCAAGAGACTCCTTAAGGAGCTCGCTGGGGAGGTGCTCAAGGTCGGAGGTAGGAGGCTCGAATGGAGCTGCCTGGACTGGAATGAGCCCAGTCTGAAGTTCTACGAGAGCGAGATCATAGGGGCGCAAAGGAAGACGGCATGGGTAGGCTTGCGTGTGGATGGAGACGCATTGGAGAAGCTTGCAAAATCGTAAGGGCAAAGAGTCGGAATTCATCGCATGCTCTCTGAAACATGACTCTGATTGTTGTTTGCTCTTGGTTGCCCTGTACTGCATGAAGGAGCGTTCACGTGAACACGCGCTCCAGGTCCGTGCGCTACAATCGTCACCTCTGTCTTACTCCAGTGGCCGTGCCCGCGCTCTTGCCTTGTCCGATCTGAATAATCCAACTCTGCAGTCTTCTCCTACCTGTAAATTGCAACACCATCATGGCACGCCCACCATACATGGTTGAATCATACGAGACAGTGAAGTGGTGGGAGACACTATGCAGGTAAGTTATCAAGAGTGAGATGCAATTGGTGAATGATACTAATTCCCTCCAGGTTGTTGCGACTTGAACGGAAGAAGGACACGCTCGACGATTACCAACAACTTGTCGGTCGCCATGACGGCCTCCAAGATCTCATGCACGTCATCGCAGAAGCCGACGGTTCTCCAGCGCCCACCATGGACTTCATCAAGTCGAACTTGGGCCTAGCGCGAGACTTTGTCGAGGAGTTTGGGAAAGCTACCGAGCTGTACAATATCGCAGTGTGTCGCGTCATCGGACCTGCCATGTACACGACACTGCCACGTGAAATCCGCGATATGGTCTACGAGTACCTGACCCCACACCAACTCGATATCACTCTCCGGCCTTGCTATCCTTGCGCAGACTCCGATCTATTACACGTTTTTGGCGAGGATACGGAGTACCGCCTGTACTTTGACCCACGACCTCGCACGCGGGACGACGAAGTTTGCCCCGAGTATTACTGGAGAGACGACATCATCGGTCGCGAAGCAGCTTACGAGCTTATGGAAGCGTGGTATCGAAACAGCATCTTCAATATGAGGGCAGAATGGATCGAGGATGATTGGCCGACCAAATGGCTGAACACATTGCTCAACAATGATCGTTTTGCGGCTGGGTTGCGACCTCGTAAATTGATCGCTAATTTCGCCTTCGACGTTTTAGTCCGCGGTGCGGAAGAAGCAGAGTTCGACACGCTTTGGCAAAAGAACGTGTTCAAGGCTATGGAAAGCTTGTTCTTACTCAAGGAAGGGACGCGGATACAAATCAGCGTGATGTTCCAGGGTTGCAGAGATGAAGTCGCAGGGTTAAGACAATTCCTGAATCGCATACGTCCTGCCTTTCTGCGTCTACGAAACCTGGGCTATCGGTGCACGATTAAGATCATCAAACGACGGCTCAAGCTTCTTCATGAAATTGTTGAAGAATGGGTACAAGAGCTCGAGACGGAGGTTAAGGGAAATGATAACGCGGGGCTGATCGGTGTCTGGGATAGTGAGCAGTATGCTGGGACGGGGATACGTTAAGGTGCATGCTCAGCAGCTTCTCGACGTATCAGCTTTCCAGGATCATCATGCTCCGCGAGACTCTATTACCACAGAGTGAGTCCGTACTTGTTAGATGCTGCCATAGCGCAATATTTGGATATTACGGCCAGGGTCGCAACCAGACTTTGCTGTATCTGGGGATTTCACGATGGCGACCATACCATTATCTAGCACAAATTCACCAATATCCAAGAGGTTACACTTTCCATCTCTCTCCTTCCTCGGCTAGGCTAGGCTACCTAATCTAACAGGAATAGCCCAGCTTACGTCTACCTCTTAGCCCCCATCGTCAGCGATCACCGGCGGCAAACTCCCTCATCAAAAAACATCGACTGTCTAACTTTCTGCCTTCGGTTTTCGGAATCCAGCGCTGGCCGTCCCGAGATGAGTGGAGGTTTCGGGGGTCTCGGAAGTCTTGGGCCGTAGAAGGACCGACCCGTCAGTATCGATCAAGATGAGTACGCGTGAATCATGACGGCAACTCAAACGATCAACAGTGTGCGAATGTAGTTTCGCAAGACGGAATCTGGTGGGCTGGCGATACACAGCACATCTCTCCAAGTAGGAAGATGCGCGAGTGATTGAAGTAAAAGTGCGCGCTAATTTCAACATGACGGACACATCGACTGTAAGAAGGATCTCATTCTACGACCATATTCATGAGATACCATAGCAAAATCATGGGCCACTAACCATTCACAAACAGCAAGGTACAAGGTAGCGACATCTTTACCTAGGGTGTTCGGCATAGTACCCAATCTACCAGTTCCCTCGTGGTAACCAGCCGGAGTTTGCACCGCCACCATCGCACGACATGAAGCTGATTCCTTCAAGACTTTCCCATTCGAGCCGATGACGAAAGAAGAGGCGGTTCAGGGGGCATGTCGTGTTCCACGGATTTCAGCCACGAGCTGACAACTCCAGAAATCACAAGGATTGGGGGTATACACTCCGCTTCGGAAACGTCACCGGTCCGAAGCCGATGTATTGTAGATTAACGGGGAGCTTACTTGACTCTTAGGCATAGCAAAACGAACGGGATTTAGAAGCTTCACTACTGAATCGAGTTAGCTATGCTGACCACTTACTTGATTGCGCTGTCCTTGCGAATAACCTACCCTTTGTCAGGTAGGACCTTGTGTGCTAGCAAGGTAACACACGGCTGAGCATGTACTGACAATGAGAAGACAACGGGCCTTCTGGTCGGATTCGGACGCTGACATGCTTCCACGGCTGGGATGAAGTCCTCCTGGATAGGGTCAAGAATACCGGTACGCGTAGACATAGAGCAGTCAGTATATATGAGTAAGCTGCTCGTCGATGTTAAGGCACCATCAACGAATATCTCAGCTTCCAGCATCTCCACCACAATCGTTACTGCCAGTATGCATTCTCAGTTCACTTCTCCCCGGATCGGGAAGAGCGCCATGATCCTCCTGCTCTCCTCCTACTTTTCGAGCTACGCATTTGCGACGGCAGTCCCCGAATCCGTCGATGTTGCCGTAATAGGCGCAGGACTTTCCGGTTTGACAGCAGCGCGAGACCTTCTCCACGGCGGCAAATCCGTTATCGTTCTCGAAGCTAGAGACCGCGTCGGCGGCAAAGTCTATAACCACCCACTGAAGAATGGGGGCGTCACGGAAGTAGGAGCCGAGTTCGTCGGTCCAACGCAGGACAAAGTGCTGGAGATGATCTCCGACCTGGGACTGCAGACATTCGACACGTACAGCGAAGGGAAATCTGTTTTGTGGAGGAATGGCACTCGAACGGCTTATACTCCTGATCCAGCACTGGGTGGTTCACCGCCGGTGGATATGGCGTCTCTTCCCCTGGTTGCCAGTGCGCAGAAGCAACTAGACGACTGGGCAGCTGAAGTCAACACGAGTGCACCCTGGACGCATCCGAAAGCCAAGGAGCTTGACGGTATGACGTTCCAACAGTACATCGATGAGGCAGCACCCCACGCGGACGCCGCTTTCGTCTTGACCTCAGCCAGCAAGGCCATCTGGGCTGCGGAGCCCCGAGAACTGTCTGTACTCTACGTCGTCGCATATATCGCAGCAGGCGGTAACGAGACAAACGTCGGAACACTTGCTCGACTGATCGGCATCCAAGGCGGAGCTCAAGAGAAGCGAGTCGTAGGCGGAACAGGACTCATCCCAGAGCGTCTTGCCGAGAAGGTCGGACACGAACACATCGTCATGAACGCCGCCGTATCAACCGTCACCAAGACATCCAACGGCTACAAAGTAGTATCCCGAGCAGGCACCGTCCACGCAAAGCAAGTCGTCCTCGCCATGGCACCTCCCCTCCTCCGTCAAATCACCTTCTCACCCGCCCTCCCCACCGCCCGCCAACACCTCAACCAAGCAATGAAGATGCCGTCCATCGGCAAAGGCATCCCCATCTACCCCACCCCCTTCTGGCGCAAAACCGAAGGCCTAAACGCCCAAGTCATCTCCGACAACGGTTCCACACGTGTAACCTTCGACTCCACACCCGAAGACAGCAAATTCGGCGCCCTCCTCGGCTTCCTCCTCGGCGACGAAATGCGTGCGCTCGACGCCCTCACCCCGGCCCAGTGCGAAGAGAAGATCCTGTCAGACTACGTGCGGTATTTCGGAGAGGAAGCAAAGACGAACACGGAGTTTGTGTTGCAGCGTTGGGACTTGGAGGAGTGGTCCAGAGGAGGACCTGTGGCGGTTGCTCCGCCTAATGTGCTCACAAAGTATGGTCAGGCGCTGACGATGAGGGCCGAGGGGTTGCATTTTGCGGGCACGGAGACGAGTCCGTATTGGACTGGGTATATGGACGGAGCTATTCGGAGCGGAGAGAGGGTCGCTAAGGAGATTATGGGTTCGGGGTACTGATACTTGTGAAGTCCGAGGTAATAACCATGGTGGTAGGAGTGGTAGTGGAGGGGTTACATCGTGATCCTGCTGTTCAAATCTGTATTTAGGAAAACCTACTTTTGTCTCCGATCATCTCTAGTCAAGCAAATGGGATACTCTTTTCAGCAAGACCGGGGTCGTGCCATATTTTGGGTCGCCGGAGAGCAAGAGTTCTAGGTTTTTAGTTCCCAGCGCCATATCCGGGGAAAGGTGTTCGTGATCGACAGGCCCGCGCGGAATATACTTTCAGTAGCTGGGGTTGCTAACCTGCGAATTGCTTACCTTGACGCCAGATCGACATGTCACGGTGAGCCTCGGCTCCACAGTACACCACGGGGATTGTGTATAATAGGAAGCCGTAGGATGTGGTATTTACTTTTTTCAATCATCTCAGCATCATTCTGACTCGTGTCTTGCTTGTACAATCTCATATTCGCTTCAGACCGCCGATTCAATCGCAAGATACTCACCGACATCATGCACTTCTCACTTCCCTTCCTTCTCCTCCCCGCCATTGCGTTTTGCGCGCCTGTTGCGGAAATCTTGCCTACGGCACAGGATGTGATTCAGTCTGTGGTCAACATCCACAGCGCTGTTCTCGAGCTTGATCAGAAAGTGCTAGCCTTCCAGGGCGGTTCTTTCGAAACTGCCTTTGTCGAAGGCAAAGAAGTGCTTGCTGGTGTAGCGAAGATCCACGAAGTAAACCGCGAAGGGTTCCGACGAGCAACCCTAGCTCTACCGCCATTCTCCATCAAGGATACTACCGATCTGATCAACACCGTCGTAGCGACTGGTAGGTTATTATCACGGCCCTTCCTGCACAGACAAAATGCTAACGCTCACCGTGACAGTCAACGTTAGTATCCCGAACGCGACCAAGCACCTCCAAGAGAAAGAGCCCGTGTTCAAGGCGAACGGCTTCTCAGCCGTCGTTATCGCCAGTCTGGCGCTGTTGGAATTTGACCACGACACGTTCAGCGCGGCAGCGGCGAAGAACTTCAACCTTGCTACCCCGAAGCCGAAGTTGGACGAGGGCATCGCGGCGGCAGCGAACATCCACAAGGTTATCCAGGATACTATTGTGTTCTACACTCTAAACGCGGTCGTGTAAAGAGGAGAGTTGTATCCCAGGTGGTGTATAGCGGTGTAATGTCCGTTTATGATAGGTGCCACGAATGCGCAATTAGTAGGAAGTCGCGTCCGTATCAACACAAACACGTGCTCCATGTATCCGCTTGCGTCTGTACCTGCACCTGCACCTGCACATGCGGGAAAAAAGTAAACATGCCACCGATGACGTATCACAATGATCGCCCACCAACCTTGTTTCTCCTCCACGCCTCACAGTCTAGATGCCGCTAGCTCTCCCGTAGCGCTCCATGCCATCATCCATTGTCAGCCTCAGCCCCAACTTTTCGGGCTCTGTGATCTCCAGACTTCCCTGCTGCACATCATCACGCTCGTCGCTCCTGCCATAATAACAACAACTCCACATTACACTCGCTCCACGACAACTCCGCCAGCGAAATTCCTCACGATGGGCATCTGCGGCAGCAAAGAGAAAGCGGGCGAGTCAACCGAAATGGCACGACCCTCACAGTCCCAAAACGCAGCCTCAATCGCGCAAACCCAGCAAAACATCCCCGTCGCCAATGAAGGTCCGACCGTAAACCCGCGCCGCTCCCCCGACAACCCCATTGTCTACTTCGACATTGCAATTGGCGGCAAGCCAGCCGGCCGCGTGCAAATGGAACTCTTCCTTGACGTTGTACCCGCGACATCAGAGAACTTCCGCCAGTTCTGCACGGGCGAGGCGAAGCGCGGCGGCGGGTACAAGGGCAGCACTTTCCACCGCGTTATTCCCAACTTTATGATTCAAGGAGGCGATTTCATGAATGGGGATGGTACGGGGAGTGCGAGTATCTTTGGGGGCGATTCGTTTGATGATGAGAACTTTGAGTTGAGGCATACGCATCCTGGGCTGTTGAGTATGGCGAACTCTGGGTACGTGAACTCTTGTGTGGGATGATAGCTTGACGTTGCTAATATTTCCACAGGCCCAACACCAATGGTTCTCAGTTCTTCATTCTGACTGCTGCGACGCCGCATCTTGATCGCAAGCACGTCGTATTCGGGGAGGTGTTGGATGGTATGGATGTTATAAGGAAGATCGAGGCGACAAGGACTGGCCCCGGTGACAAGCCATTGAGCGATGTCGTTATCGCTGGATCAGGGCAGTTGTCAGGCGCAAAGCCATTGGCTTAAGACGGGAGGAGGTAATAAAAGCAGGTCGTCTCGCGGTACATAGGTTTCCAGGTCTTGGAATCGTAATGATAATGTAATACATCTCTGCAACACAGTGCAACTATACTTCACCTAGCAGTATATCTTGCCTTGAGATTCTATCAATATTCATTTCAAGGCTAATGTAGACCGCAGCGCACCTGTTCAGTTCTTTCTATACAAGACACTCCTGCTATTGTACCAGCTCGCCCAGCTCCGCCATCTGGATACGCATAGCTTCCTCCTCCCAGAACTCCGCCAGCTGCTCAGCTCCCCTCCTACCACCCCACTGTCGCCCGCCTTGGTCCATATCGCCTTCGACTCCATCCATGAGGCGCCGAAAGCAGCTCTTGAACTTGGGTTCGTTGAAGTGGTGGTAGGGGTGGTCCGGATTGAGCCATGCTGAACAGATATAGCAGAAATGTGTTTGGCACTGCGCGCAGGTCTGCAGAGACACGAAGTCAGTATGTGCGCCATAAGCATCTTATGAGGGTCGGAACTTACCATATGGTTGCAGCCGTAACCTTTCTGGCAGGGTACAGAGCAGTATGGGCATGGTGTCGTATTCTTCATGATAAAGTTGAGCGATGCTTGGTCGTCCTCGGTGAGCTCTGTGACATTGCGTGGCTCGCAGCGTACGAAGTCTCCGTGCCACGATGCTAGGCAGATGACACAAAAGGCAAGGGTGCAATCTTCACAGACCTGCAACCGCTCCATACCTCGTACCCCGACTCCACGCTTTTCCGGGCCGCTTTCGGTCTGGGTCTCCTGTGGTTGAGCTGGGCCCTCATCGTCTGCTTCAGAATCTGAATCGTCCATCTGCGTTACGTCCGTAATCTTAGGGTATTTATCAGACCGCATAGCGCCTTGACACCATTTGCGCGGACAATATACGATGTTCGGGTCGGATTCGATCTTCTTCTTCCGCTTTATCTTCGCGTATCGCTCGACCTGGTCGCGGGATATAGGGATTTGTAACAGCTCCTTGGGTGACAGTAGCCGGTCCTTCTTCTTCCCACTACTACCGCACTCCGTGGACATGCATTTGATATTGTTGACGTTTCCCTCTGTTATACAGCTGTCGTAGTATTCCTGGAGGCAGTTGATGCAGAAGACATGGCTACAGCGGGCCATGCGATAGCACGCGGATCCCTTCTTCGGCTCGAGACAGACTCCACAATCGAATGTGTCTTTGTCAAACAGTTCCTTCTTCATCCGCCGACTATAGTCAACCAGCTCCTTCTGCATGGACGAGGGTAGCGTGAGGTCTTCCAGGCCAAAGGCATTCTCGGCCTGTTCTTGGAGAGAGCTGATGTACGAGAAGAGTATGGAACCACCTCCGTACTCCTCCCAAAGTGTCTTCGCTTCGGTTGTCAGTCGGGCCTGTAGATCCTCGCGGATCCATGAAGGCGAAGTCGACAGTCGAATTACAGGCGGTAGATGTTCGGGATATTCGGCAGGCAGTATAATTTCGAGGCGCAGCGGAGGGAGGTATGGGAGTCGTTCGACATCTTGCTGTGGCTCAAAGGTGATAGGTAGAGGCTTGGCGGGTGCGACGAGCAGTTCGAGAGTGGCCGAGTACGGATCGCTATCGTTGATGACCAGCTCCGGGTAGATGGACTGCAGCGTGCTGAGCTCTTCGGCGCGCTCGTCTTCCAGGTTGAACTCGGTCATAGCGGCAGATGTTAGGAATGCCGCGTTTCTATCGGCGAGCGGGTTGTATATGAAAGTGGCGGCGGCGGAGAGAGGGCGGAGATAAGTCGAATGCGGTCGCAACAAAGTGTGAAAAGGGCGTGGCGACTCTCTTCTATCGATAGCGCATAAAGGCAAAAGCCCCCTTGAAGAGGCCCATTGTGAGTCAGGCGCTGGCTGCAATCACTGCGATTCCATAGAGGCTTTCAAGAGCCAGGCCGTAGCAGCAGATGCGAGCATGTATGCAGCACAATCCCATCACCGAGGCATCTCGCATGCCAAGGCCGGCAGGGTACCGCCGGGATTGCGCCGTCATGGACACGGCATGCGCACCCTTCACTCTTGACACGCTGCACCTCCCACGTGAAGTTGCTATGGAGGCCCCTCCGCTTGCGTCGCTGTCCTTGACGCATGTCCACTATGTTGGTCTCATCTACTGACAGCCAGAGTCGCTGCTAATCCGCCCAGAATCCCGCCGACCGCGTCTCCTACCTCTGCGCATGGCTTGCGCTTGTGCCCCAGGGACTGTGCGTCGTTTATGCGACGCTGATATGGTCAAATCGCGAGATTGAGATATTCCTCATGTTCGCAGGCCAAATGGCGTGTGAAGCGCTCAACTGGGTTCTGAAGAGATACATCAAAGAAGAGCGGCCGCGGGGTAATGTTGGCAAAGTAAATCATGTGAATGTAGTACTGATAATTTTACAGAAATGCATGGAAAGGGCTACGGAATGCCCTCCTCGCATGCCCAGTTCGTCTCCTTCTTCTCCGTCACCCTAGGCCTGTTTGTCCTCTTTCGGCACGTCCCACACCCGACCGAAACCCACACCCCCTTCTCTTTCGGCGGCCGCGTCCTCCTTTCGCTTCTAGCAATGGTTTGCGCAGGAGCTGTAGCAGCAAGCAGGATATACTTGAGCTACCATACACCAAAGCAGGTTGTCGTCGGATGTGCTGCCGGAGCCCTCTTCGCTCTAGCTTGGTTCGGCTTCACAACCTTCCTGCGGAAAGCCGGCTGGATAAATTGGGCTCTCGAGACGTGGGTCTTGAGGACGTTGCGCGTGCGAGATCTCGTAGTACAAGAAGATCTCGTTGATTCTGGCTGGGCACGCTGGGAAGACCGAAGGAAACGGCAAACGTTCCAAGTCCAGGGTAAGAAAAGCAGGTGAGATCTAAAATCTCTGTATATATTACCACGGTACGAGGCTGTCATACTCGTATCCGCTTGTCCATACTCAAATAGATGTGTAGCGCAACACAAAACAAGATTGGCGACTAGGCCGACTTTCAAGCCTCTCGACATTCTTAGCTCCCGTGCGCCGTCGAGATCTCCAGAGCTTCTTTCCGCGGAGTCACTTTCGTTCGTTCAACATCTCAGCCTCCAGACAGGCATGTCCCTAGTACCAATCACAGATCATCGTCATGACATCTGTAACAGCCACCAACGTCAGGCTAGTCGTGGCTTCAGCCGTGTGCAACGGCATATTCTTGCTCTTCCAACACTTCGAAACCTATCATCCCCCGTGCTGCCTTAACAAAAGACTTATCTCCAGTCAGCCGTGGCTGAAGTTTGCCGTTCACAAGCGATGATCCCCACAGTTAATGGTTCGGACTATATGTGGACCCTTGACGTGCATCTTCCGTCACAATCGTCATGCTGCCGTCGCCGTGCCGTTGGCTATGACAAACCCGTCAATCCGAATGATTGACCGCTATAGTATAACGGCGGCCGTAATTCCTTTTAGGTCGTCTTTTAGGTCCGGTTTCCCCAGCTTAGGCGTCCATGTAGAAATTGTCGTCCCTCATCACCACTTTGTATACTCTGTTTTGCGAATATTCACATCGATATACCCAATCCTTACTCTATCTACAGTAATCTCTAATCCGACATCATCTTCCGACGATGCCACGCATGAACACCTACCGCGAGCCCAAACCCCCACCACACCGTTCCCGCAGCCACCAAAGAAGCCAAAGCCAAAGCGAAAACAGCAGTCCCCTCCCACGCAATGAATCGGACTACGACGTACCCGCCCCGGAACCGAAGAAACATCTCAGCAGTCTAGAAGGGCACCTCGTCGCAGCGAGTGGAGAGTTTGTTGGCACATTCATGTTTCTCTACTTTGCTTTTGCCGGTCAGCTCATGATCATCAACCAAGCAAGTGATCGGTCGATTCTGAATGGGTTTGCTAGCAGTCAGCAGAATATCTTCATTGCTTTGGTGTATGGGTTCAGTTTACTGGTGAATGTCTGGGCGTTCTTTCGCATTAGCGGTGGGTTGTTCAATCCGGCGGTATGTACCCTCCCAGTATCCTCCAGGATACGCGTTAGGTTGTCGAACGATGCTAACATATCTCCAGGTTACCGTCGGCATGGTAGTTGCCGGTCAACTCCCCTTCATCCGATCCCTCTTTCTCGTTCCCGCTCAGCTACTCGCATGCATGTGTGCGGGTGGAATCGTCCAGGCTATGTTTCCTGGGGATATCAGTGCTGTCAATACTTCGCTCTCCCAGGACACGTCTATCGCCCAGGGAGTTTTCATCGAAATGTTCATGACTGCTGAGCTCGTCTTCGTTGTGCTCATGCTAGCTGCGGAGAAGAGCAAATCTACATTCCTAGCTCCGATTGGCATCGGATTGGCGCTGTTTGTAGCTATGATGGGCGGTGCGTTGATCTTCACTCTGAGACGAGGAGATTTTTGGTTCTTGACGCTAATTGTGCATAGGTGTATACTTTACCGGCGGCTCACTCAATCCTGCGCGTAGCTTTGGTCCAGCTGTCGCTTCAGCGTCGTTCGTCGGTTATCACTGGATCTACTGGGTTGGTCCATTACTCGGTGCGCTTCTTGCTTCGGCATACTACCGCTTCGTGAAGCACTTCAATTACGAGCAAGCGAACCCGGGGCAGGACTCTTCGGGTGGCCACTTCTCGGCATAAGTGTCTAAAGAGTGGGCAGTGTCAGGGATTCTCGGCAGATTCGAACATACAGCGTGGAGTTATAGGAGTATTCCATCGATGAAGGATAGTTGCAGAAGCGTTTGGGTATCTTGTTGCTTATGGGAAATCAGTCTAATCGTTTCCCTTTCGTACAACTAGGCAAAGACGTAAGATGGTTTTGGTGCTCACTTATGTAGTGTTGAACTGATCGAAAACGGGTTCACATCTCTGTTAAACTTTTACGTAGTTTACTGTGGTCATTTGTTATCCAACAGCTATAAAGACGGCAACGAGAGCGTGCACAATGTGCACGATATCCGGACACTATAATGACAGCAATGCGGGAGTGCAGGATATGTACGATGGCTCAACCCTGAGCACGATATCCAGAACACTAGACTCCATGTAAATGCAAGCACAAAGACGCGGTGTTGATGCAGACGCAAGGCAACGATATGCAGGGAATCAAACAAAAAGGGGCCAGTTGTTACGGAAAGAAACAAGAGCTGGATACGAACATGAATCAAACAGGGGACTCCTGTAAAGGCTGTCCGCGATCAGGGAAAAGGAATGAAACAGCATAAGCCGCGAAGGAAGTGCAAGGAGGGATGGCAGTAACAAGCCCACCCTGTATCGAAGCCTTCTGCACGAGCGCGACAATGCAGAGACATATCCCGGCGAACACCAACGTGATCAGTATATATCTAGTTGTTGTCAGTATACTCCTTAGCACTAACTCATCAATTGGTACTTACAGGCTGTCATGCTTCACTCGACGAGTCTGATAGCGAAGGTACATCATCATTGCGATGGACCAAACCCCAAAGATACTGTCCGACAACATCAGTACGATTCAATAGAGATAGAATGGTGGATACTTACGTCCAAGAGAAGCTAGGCCGGACCGCTGCGTCATTACGCATGATGAACCACAGTACACTTGTTACGCCCATCAATGAACCCAACATCTGACCCGCCATAGTCATCAGATGACAAACGGCGACGAAAGACATCGTACCCATGGTAGCCAAAGGGATTCTTATAGGGAAAGGAGGGGGCGGGTTCGGGGCGAAAGCCCCGTGGGCGTTCTGTACTGGGAACGGTGCCAGCGCCATCTGATTGTCCATCGCTGCCACTGGAACGACCAAGTTCGTGAAAACGAGGAAGATGGCTAGAGGGACAAGTATTGTTTTGATCAATGGTCGGAGTCTTTGGAAAAGCAAAGATGTTGAAGCCTCGCTAAATGGAGTACGAAGTGCGGTCGTTTCGCGCAATTGTTGTATCGCTGCAGCAGCGTCACCGCAAGGCGGATCCGGATAAGACTCCGTGCTAGAAGGAGCCATGGTCGTATGGTTCCGAGTGATGCTGGAGCCTTTGGATTGCATTGCGCCGAAGTCGTTGCTCAATTGCATTTCGATGCTGTTGTTATTAGTATCTAGGAAAGGCCAGCAAATATAGGTAGAGAAAGTAAAGGGCCAACTTACGGACGTCAATTTTGGAGAACGATAGCGTCGATCAAGAAGCAATTGCAAGAGAAGTTTTGGGGGGGACAGGTCAAGAAAAGGCCGCGCCTGATCCCACCCACATGTTCATTGCGCAAACTAGCACCGGTCACAGAAGACAAGGCGAGAAGTATAGTGGCTGTGTTTTTGAGCTCAGCCCATGTTTAAGACTCGGCATGCAGACAATGAGGCAGAATCGCGACTGCGTGGCCTTTTGCTGTTCGCTGGACACGGTGGAGGACGCAGAGCAAGCTGACACCGGCATATCGGAGTAGTGTCACGAGAACAAAAGATACACTGTGTGGTAGACTCCGCCACGTATCTGTGACGTCGCAGAAGGAATTTGGTATATGTACTACCGTGGTGCAGCCGCGATTCGCTGATGATGATGGTGAAGGACTCGACCAGCGCACACCGGTGGCTGGCTTGCGCCTCAGCCTGATGCATCAAACTCGTAACAGGGCAACAGAGCCCCGCCTTGTCTGTCAGCCTAGCTGGTTTCTGACGTTTACTCGCATAGGGATCTTTATATACCCCCCGCATGCCTTTCCTGCCTTTTTGTTCTTGCAATGCCATCAGACTGAATCTACCAATACCTCCAACCTATTTTACTGCTCCAATAATCAGCCCCACTCCCAACCTCGCGACGGCGGAGCACCCTGTGGTTCATAACTCTTCACTTCGACAACCCACCTACACGGCCCAATTATCACTATGAGACTACCACGATGGTCATACTGCAAATGCGGAGACGCCACAATGCAATGCACCGCATGGCTCCACCAATGGCTACTACATGCCATACTTGTACTGAGCTTCATTGTCGATGCAATAGCAGCGCTTGATCTCGGTCAACACAAATGGCAATGCTTTTCGACGGAGACAACAAGCGATACTGGCGCCAACCATAGAACTGTGTCGACCATCGCATTCTTCACCGCATCCACCATCATCTATCGGACCAACAGCCACGATCAATGGCAAGAGCATTTCCTTCTCGCAGGAATAACGTCTGGTGCCGCCTCCGGCCTTCTTCTCAAAGGAGGATTACAAGAAGCCATCCTCCAATTCATACCATGGACCGTTATGCTGTCTTTACTGTTCAGCACCATACATCACCGAACGGTTCAGTTCGCCCGTTGTAGAAGTCCCGTATTAGAAGAGAAGGTCCCTTTGCTGCCTTGAAAGCGCTCGCACAGGAGCTATGAAGGAATAGTGGTACTGCTCAGAATGCGATGTTCACATCGTCGATCTCTTTCCTATGTCAACTCGCAGGTCAACTCATAACTCGGTCGTGTCGTTTGGGCGTTGGCAATGTTGCTTTGGCGTTATCAATCACTTTTTGTATACAAGTCTGCACAGTATAAGTACTGTAATAGATGTTAAAATCCGGGTATCATACCTTGCGCCTAGCGTCAAATTATCATCAAACTGTCTCCCAACGTCCAGTGACCGAGTATCGCCGTGTCCTTATTTGCTCGGTCTGACCATCGTATGTGTATCCTCGTGACGCTCGTACTAGCCAGTGAGTTGAAAGGCCTTGTCGCAATGGCTCACAATGCAAGGCGGCCTAATGACATCGATGTTGACCTGTACTTCCTTCCTCGGAAACGTTGTAAACATCGCTTCCCATACGCATATAGACAAGACTCATTTTTCACTTGCCTCCTCTCCGCAATTCATCATCGTTAGGCATCCGACAATTAGGCTGTCGACGGAGAGGAATCTCAGTGTACTTTGTATCAGTGAAGTAGCTCAAGTCAAACTGCGGTTCCAATCGCTGCTTCTCGGTGACCTCTGCAACTTTTTCCTCTGCATCTTTCGTTTTGGTGTGTGCGCTTCGAAAGAGACGATCCGCATCGTCGCGTGGTGAAGAGGGTGGCGCAGGTTTGCCGAGCCAGGATGTCCCACGGCCGCGCCAGCAGAGTACGGATCGGGCGTTGCCTTGTCCAACAACTTCGAACCCATCTTCGATCGCATTGTCTCCAGTGGCATCAGGTTGTTCCCGCCATATCTCGACACCATCGAAGATGTCTAGGTTTCGTGCGCTCTGCGCTACGCGAAGCGCTTGCTCCATGTCTGCGACCTCGAATAGGACGACTTTGGCTTCTACGTCTCTGGCGATCTGGAGCAGGCGCGGATAGAAGCGATCGCCTTGCTCTTTATCTGTCTGCTTTATCCTCCGTGGAGGCACCAGGGCGAGCTTTGGCTCAAAACCACGTACTGAGCGCGTTGTCGTGTGCCAAAAGGCAGCTGGCGAGATATACGGTGGATTTGAGATGAGAATGTCCCAGAAGGATGGTTGTCCTGCCCAATTGAGCGCAGCCGTCAGCGACAAGACGCCTTCAGTCTGATCATCAAAAGGATTGATCAAGACATCGGCCTGTATGAAGTCGACTTTCCCACTGTCTTGGAGCTGTCGCGTCTTGCGTAGTTTTTGGAGGTTGTATCTCGCGAGATCAAGAGACTTGTCGGAGATGTCGACACCGAGAAGACGCAGGTCTACTTTGTTGGAGGCGGAAGACAATTCGTGGTGGAAGAGGAGGGGTATGCAGCCGGTGCCGGTGCAGAGGTCGAGTACGCGTACTTCAGAGGGGAGTTCTTTCGCATGTCGTAGGAGACCAGTTAGGTGTGTAATTGAAGCGGCTGTGTCTGCTCTGTTCGCGTCGTTAGCCATGAGCCGGAGAGAAGCCATAGTTCCATATACCTCGGGATTAAGACACCAGGTCTACAGCGTATCTCCAGGTCGCCAAAGTACTCCGTGCCTAACAGATACTGCAATGGCTTTCCGGCGGCTCTATCCTTGACTAATTGTTGCAGTAGAGAAGCCTTGGCTATCGTGTCTCCTTCGGCGCGGCGCGCTTTCGCGACTTTCTCGACATGTTCGCGGAGCCATCGCAGCTCGTTCTGGGCGGCCTGCAGTTCGCGACAGGGCCCGAGAAGAGCAGGCAGGTAGGGATCGATTGCGCGCGCCTTGCGGATGAGCGACGTTGGTATCCGTGGCATGTTGAAGGTGACGCGGTGGGGTGGAGTTGCGGTCGCTTCACTAGCGTCGGCTTCATGTCGTCTGGCTGCTGCGACATTGCGGCGTTTTGCCCACAACTTCGGTAGGGGAATGACATATCCTGACGTTTCTTTCCACGAAATGGAAAATTTAAGAATTCATCACGATACATCAGATGTTGTTGGTGCCTGTTGGTAGAAAGTATACCTAGCTAGTATATCGGCAGCACGTGCTCAGTAACCTCATGACTGCCTCTACCTCATTGCTTTTTCGGCAGCCTGCAAGTCTGCCCTCACACCAGAATCGAGCTTTTGGATTTAAGCATGAGTACATCTGCATTCAAAGCAACACTGAAATCTGCGCATGGCATCCAACATGCCGTATAGCTAAGCTTTAATTTCCCCGCGCGACGCCCGTTCGACCCACCATCCCCAACATCACGCCCGTACCCCATACTTTCCTAGTTCACATTCATCCAATTGCTCTGCATAGCG